ACATTTTCCCCCCAATCCTTTTCTGATTGTTGTCATGGGGGTGGGGGGGGAGATGGTGACTGAGGCCCATTGTATTGGACCTCCCCTGCCTTAGACTTCAGCCCTTGTCTCAAGTAATTTTGCATGATCTTATCTTCTCCCCCTTTCCTTTTCCTTCTTCATCCCCTTTTTTTGTCCAATTCCTGAGGTGTGAGAGCCATGATGAAAGGATGAAAGGCTGGCTTTGTGTCAGTCATGAATGGCCTCTGGGAGCCATAGACACAGTATTCCCTTGGTTAATTGCCTAGCCTTTACCCATAATGGGGACCTGGAGGGGTAGATAGTTTTTTTCCCCACTTATTTCAGGCCAATAATTAACCCCAAGCCACGGGGCATGGCATGTACGTACATGCCATTGCCCGTTGTGCGTGTTGGCTGTAGTAATTGTCCTTACATATAGATGGCTCCACAAATGCTGTTGCCAATGAGCCAATTACGTGAACTACCTGTCTCACCTGCTTACCCTTTTCCTTAATTTTCAATAATATTTTCTAATATATGATACTGCTGTTAGTAATGTCAGTAACAATATAGTAATTACAATGTTTATAACAAAAATAACAGTGTCAATATTGATAGCATTAGTAAAAAAATAACACTTTTTCCACTTTTTCAAGGAAAAGTGAGGTCGCAAGATCTACCAATTGACTCCTTTGTGACTAAGCATTTGCAGAGCCATCTATGTGCAGAAACATTTAACCAAGCATTGCCAAAGGGAATGAACCATTTTCCCATTGCCACTGGGGTTAAGATTTTTTACTCATTAGGGGCATTAAGGTTTGCCCCTTCATGAACTAGCATATCTAAATTTGATTTTGTTGTTTTCCTGACTCTTTCCTCTCCTTTAACCATAGCTCTGACCACTGATACCAATAATCCCTCCTCGATGTTTACTGACAACTCTATCCATTCCAGATCACCCACCCAGTTTGTTACTCAATACTTAGAATGTACCCCTTCCTCTTTCTCAACATTCTCCACTCCATCTCCTACTGTAGTCTTCTTCATTGTCTACCCTTGCCCCCCTATTTCTACTCTTCATCCCTATTATCCTCCTCCCCACAGGATTACTTCACTCCACACCACCCCATCTTACTCCTACACTCATTCCTCTACTGCTTCCACTACTGCAAACTTTTTGACTACCCTCTTTGGCACAGGCAAGTTGGATTGATTCTTTGTGATCCCCCTATAGCCCCTTACTCTGGTAATTACCTTCTCTTCCAACAATATCTCCAAAAACAAGTAGGCAAAGTTTCCTTTTGCAGTTGTTCTGATTGTTCAAGCCTTATCAGTTACATTTGTGTCCCAAGCTCATGCACTCTCTACCCTGACAGACCTCACTGGCAAACCTATTCCTGCCAAACCTCACTCCTCTCTTTATGCTTGTACTGGAACTGTTTCCATCTCCTTGACTGATTGTCCTTCTTAAGACAAGAACTAGTCAGACTGTCAAAATGACCTACTTGTTTGCCTTGTTGATTATGATGCAGTGGCAGTACATTCCTACACTATTACTCCCAGTAGCCAGAATAAATCTTACACCAATATTGCCAAGATTAGCTTCTGTAGATATGATCTCCCCCATGAAGTTTATATTGGTGGAGTGTCCTGCCCTGTCTGACCATATCAATCCCTTCCCTGTCAATGTCAAAAATGTTGGTGTTTTAGCCACCCAGCTATACACTGTCACTCCACAGCCTGCTGCCTTGCACGTGCCCAACCTGGTCATGCCCGTTCAAATTACTTTGCATAGTCATGTATGTGTGCCAATATTGGTGGCTCCCATAATGTATTGTATAAGAGCTGCCCTGCCTATAAGCTCAAATGTGAGGTAGCAGTTCTCAGATTCATGCTAGGCCTCACTCTATGTGAGGCTAGACAGGAAGCATGGTGACAAGGTTTTTCTCTCTACCTATTCCAAAAGTGTCCTTCATTCTGCTCCCCTCCCATCTTCTCAAAATGTCTCAACATCTCCCCAGTATCATCTCCCCCTACCCTGAACCATCCTACCTTTCTCCATCAGTCATATTCCTTTTCCAGATACTCCAATCTTTACCACTTCCCCAATGCCTACCTTTCCTCCTTCTCACTTTACCTGTTGCACCAGGCAACCTAAACATTCTATTCCAACTACCACATCCTCTCCTATGCCATCCTCTTCCTCGAACATCTATCCCCCCTTCTCCTCTCCATAAAAGAACTTTTGTTTCTCAGAACTTCCCACCCCCCTTTCTTCCAGAAACCTTTGAATACATCCAAAATTTCATAGACGGCCTAAGAGAATGCTCTGTTCCTTCATCCACCCTCCTATCCCATTGCCTCTACATTCAAAGTATTTGCCAATATTCATCCTCCTCCTCCTCAAGTTCCCCCTATCCTTCTTCCGCCCACTCTTTCCCAACACACCCTATCCTTTCCATCTCCATATGCACCATTTCCTCTTTGTTCCCCATTATCTTTAGTGCTCCCACCTTAATGTTCACATGAAACCCCTCTATCACAACAGTGACCTTCTGTGGACCCTTTCCAACCTGACAATCTTCCTGATACTTCATCATCTTCCCTAGTTCCATTATCTCATTCCCTGGATTTTCCTCCTCCTACTTCTCCAACAGCCATCTCTACCCATATCCATTGATTGTATCATAATGGCTCTTATGCCAGTTTTTCTTAAACATTGATTTTATTCCTTCCCCACCCACAGGTACACTCCATATCATCCAGTTGCCCTATGCTCTTAACCCTTTATTTCTTTTACCTATCTCCGCTTTACTTCATTTGCTCTTTGTCTTTATCCTTTTCACTACCATACTATTCTATAATGCTATATAAACTTTGACATCTAACACATTTCATCCTAATTGTTAACTCAGTTTCACCCTTTTCACCACAATACTTAACCATAGTAGTATATAACCTTTGACATTTTGCAAATTTATTTGTTCCAACCATTAACCATTAACCACTCATGACATTTTTGATATGCTGTGATGTATTGATGACATAGCAAGTAATCTATAGCATTGCTAGGGGTAATTTTGCAGATTACAGGTGTTCAAACATTTTCTCCCATTGTACATCCAAGTAAGAATATTAACTAACTTATATTTAATTTGTATTTCATATTTTAATATTAGAAGAGATATTATCAAATAAACTTTGATTTTGTGATTTACACTCAGGGTTTAATTGTCCCGTCACTAGATTTTTTATTCTCTCAATCCAATAAAGAAAATTGTAATGATACAGACAACCAATATCAGCATGAGAATTAACCTGGCAGCACATTTTGGTAATCAAGAGTTGGAAACTCTGACACCCCTGTATATAATTGTTATTTTCATTTTTTATAGTATTTGAAGAATCTAGGAAAAGGAAAACATTTGAACTTCATCCTGAAACTGGATACAAGTTGACATTTTTTAGCAATATTGTAAAATGGCAAATAATTCTTTTACAAGGCAATGTCTTCATGATTAATTTACAGTTTGGCAATCAGGAGGTAAGAGAGCTCTGGTCATTTTTACAACTGAAACTTCCACAGTTTTTCAAGGATGCAGAAGTAAAACCATCTTTACTCCATGGTGACTTTTGGAGTGGAAATGTGGCTGAGATTACTGATTGTCCAGGTGGTTAGAAAACACATTTTTATTGACTATTGATGCTCTTTCATACACTGTTTTTTAAAACTCAGACAGTACCAGTGCTTCACAAATTGAATATATGTGCAACGCAATTGTTGTTTTGATAGAATTTTAATAAGATTTTTTTTTTCAGTTATATTTGATCCTGCTGCATTCTATGGCCATTTCGAATTTGATTTATCAATTGCAAAGTTGCATGGAGGTTTTGATAAACAATTCTGGGAAAGTTACTACAATGTACTTCCGAGAGCTAAAGGATGGAATAAGAGATACAAGGTGTACAAGCTCTTTGGTCTATTACTTGAATGGCAAGTGCTTTACTGTAAAGACCTATTCACTGCAAGTTCTTTGTATGAATGATGGCAATAATTAGTGTTTGTTTGATATCTCATGATCACATTGTATCTTGTGTAGACATACAAACTGTTAAAGATTGATTTCTTCAGTTTTGGTATTTCTTAGTTTAATAGAAGAACAATGGAGTTTTTTAGGGGGACAGGGGAGGGGGGTGATGCATATTTCTACCAAAAATGCATTTGTAATGAAAAACATTGCACAAACTTTTGACATGATCTCTTAATTCTTTTCTGCAAGATCTTTGGCTGTAGTTCAAGATTTACAGTACTGCCTAAACTACATACTTCATTTCCTTAAAAGGTAGAAAGGCATAAATACTTTTGATGTAGACTATGTAACTAAAATCAACAGCATTTTACTCAGAGTTACAAAATAGTGCTTTTTCAGTTTTATAAGATCATTACATAATTTTTTCTTCATTTCTGTAGTCATGTTTTGAATACTTACCTCCATTTTCTTCTTATATCACAATTGATTTACACAAGGAACATCTGTATGTTTGGGATTGTCTTGCATAGAATACATAGAACACTTCTTTTGAGGTTAAGGTCTTGATTTCCAATCTTCACTTAGTAATGTCATACTGCATGATGTAATAGATTCCATATATGTATTTTTCATATACAGAATATGAACTGTGATTATTATGATTTTTTTTTTATAAGAAAGTGTTTTTTTCCTTTTAAAAACATCAAAAGGAAACAGCTTCCAAGAATGAATTTTAAGTGTCAACTTCAGAAGGGCATAAAAAGAACAAGTAGTAGAAAGTAGTTAGCCAGATGATAGTGGAAATGGTTTTGAGATTGTAAAGGAAATCTGAAAAGTTGCATGTTTTGGTAAATAGCTGTGATAAAAAAACTAGAGAAATGCTACTGAATTATGGAAATATTTATTTATGTTTTGATCATATAGGATTACTATCAGTTTTCTTATATGTTTCGGATCTCCTGTTGTTTTATCTCTATAATTTGCCATCAGTCTAGACATAAGAGTCACTGAAAGTCTTAAGTGAAGATGTCATTGGTAATGATATTGTTATAACTGTCGTTTTAGAAATAATCATTAACATTCATCTGATATATGTTTTTTCAACTGCTTTTCATTTTTCAGGAATCATTTTGGGAATGAAAATCGATCTGCAACAGTCCACCTGATGAGGGACTTGTGTTGGTAGTATTCATACTTCTTAAGATGATCCATGATGAAGAATTGATTTTTCGTGTAAGGGTACTCATAGTGTTTTGCAAATTATTTACTTATAAAAGACGTTGTTCACTCATAGCATGCTCATATGTTACTAGTTTACTAGTCTATAGACAGTTAAAACTATGATTTGAGTAAGAGGAGATTGAAGGATTATTTTTAAATTGCTCATCTTTACAAAAAAAAAAATATATAGATTAAATAAATTTACTGAGAAAATTATTTAATTAGTTGCTGAGTAATAAATTAGCAGTTTTTTCTAGGACCTGAAAGGGGGCCGGGCTCAGTGCATCATTTCATCTGGTCTTCTGTGGACATAGCCAAGGTAAGGCAAGAAGAATTTTAGCACACCTATGCAAGGTTATTAAAGAAGGATTCTTCAGAGTCATAGCCAGTTCAGGATGTATGTCTCAACACCTCCCTTACTTTGTTTCCAGATGATTTCCATCATCCAGGTATGTTTTACACTTCCTGCTGTATTTCCACCACCTTTAGTAGCATGGCAATATTATGGAAAAGGAATGAGCCCTGGTGACAAACTAAAGTACTGGTACTGGTGATGCTGATGTGATCACAATATATACATGTATAGAAGCAAACATCAGCTCTTAAACTTAATTGGCTAACAATTGAAACTAGTATGATTGTATATGATGAATATACAATATTAATCTATGTAAAAATTGATGATAAATACAAGATTTTCTGTAGCAGTATATTCTGCTTTTTGTTTGTCTGTAATTAAATTTCATTAATTCTAAAAGTTGTTGGAGGTGTAGCACTTGGGGGGGAGGCAGACCTTGTGGGGAGCAAACTACGTCTTGGGAGGCAATGTCTTCCCTCTCCTGTTGATGCCCATGGATCACAGTCTTAACTACCAAGAGAGTTTTCTGGATGACATGACTGCCCTTCACATATCCACTTTTGCAAGGACAAAAATTCAGGGGGTAGATGCCTGCTCTGGTCAGCCTCCCTTGTCATACAACTAAGCTTTGAACAATAGTATCTTCCATGACCTGACAGTGAGGTTCAAGAGGCTCCAGATTGATCTAACTGCATTCTCAGTCGATACCACACTCAAGAGATTTTTGTCTAAGTAGAAGATTGCACCAGAAGAATGTAAATATACAGGTGGCTGTACATTTACCTGTTTCCTTTTCCCCTGACTTTCATTGTGCTCTGGGTCATCAATCACCCTAGACAATTTAATGGATATGTTGTAATAGCTCCACTGTAGGTGATGCAGTCTTGGATACATGCCTACGTCTTCTGGTGCTCTTACTCTTTTTCTCAGGTGAAGAATGCCGTTTTGGAAGCCTCTATGGATTGCTTCAAGACATCCTTGAGGTTACACACTTGGAGCTTCTCTCCAGCTTAGTTCAGTTGACAGTCTGGATTAATTAAATTCAATTTGTACATTTTTACTGGTGTTCACTTTTCCCTCCTATTGTCTGTGTTCATAACATTAGTCTGATGTTGGAAGACCTTTCTCTCAATTTGCTATATCATATGACAGTTCTCAGGGTGAGACACCTCTCCTTCATGGTCATTGCGCAAGGGCTTTAGTTTCCTCTTTTCATGTTATGCCACTGAACCAGCTTATATGGACTCTCTGTACAGGGCTGTTTTTCACATGACTTGCTGTTTTTCTTCTGATTCTTTGTATCCTTAAGTCTTCAGAGGCTTGGGTGTCTGCCAAGTATTCAGACCTGTAGTAGTTGATGCTAGGTCTGACAAGCATATTTTTTGAGCATACTCCACTTTTCTATGGGTATGATCCAATGCACAGCATCACTCAAATACCACTCATTAGGTGTGGAGCTATCCTTCCACAACTTCTTTTCCTTGAACATTTGATCTTCAGAGAATCCATGACTCAGGGCGTTGGTCTCCATGCTACTCTGTTTTGAACTGAAGTTGAGCTTTGTCCAAGAAGGCTGCTTCCTAGATTTTCCTTCTTTCATGTAGTTTCTACAACTTTTTGTTTCTTACTGGTTCAACATTCTGACTAGTTTTATATCATATGACAGCTGAGCTGACAGGAAGAGGAGTAGTTGGTGTTTGAGGAGTTGCCAAGTTGTATTCCTTGGCTATTGGATAAATGTGCTACTGATATGGTTACAGGAAGTCAACTCAATTGAGACTTTTAGTCAGGCTTGTCCTTGATCATATAACCTTTACACCATGTATTTGAAAAGTAATAGTTGTCACATTCAAAATGTTTTTTTGTTTTTTTTTACTGAGATTATCATGGCAAGAATGTACAGGAATGAATGAATATATGATGTAAATTCAGATAGTTTGGAAGTTTTAGTTATTGAAATACTATTATATATTATTCAGTTTTATCCCATAGTAAACTTTGTGATAAACTTCTCAACAGTGACTAATAGAATCACTGTTGAGAAGTATTACATTAGATTACTGGTCTTTCTTTACAGTTATTATTATAATTGTTAGTAGTAGTAGTAGTAGTATAGTAGTAGTAATATAGTAGTCATAGTAGTAGAAGTAGTAATAGTAGTAGTTGTAGTATTTTACTAAAAACTTCATATTTTGTTTCATCATTGCTTTCCTTATCTGCTTAACTTTTGTATGAAATACCTGTATGGATTTCTCATAGTCCATTTTCTAGATTTGTTTTCACTGTCAAAAAGGAATACTGATTATATTTTGTCAAATATTTTAAGAAAATTTTGATGTGACAGTATTTTTAAAAAATGCCCGTAATGATGTACATTGTATCTGGAGAGGAAGACAGCAGCATCTTACTGTTTTATTTGTGTGTGTAAAAGAAATTTCTTGTTAGAAGTTCAGTGAAATGACACCTTATTTTACATATTTATTTAGTTTGTAATTTATAGTTGCATTTGTAGCCTTCACACTGAAAGCTTTTTTGGTCAACTTTAAACCAATACATGTGACACAGCATTTACCTTATTCTGGAGTGACTGATATGCACAGGATTTGCTGTTATGAGTTGAGCGATATATCAACATTCTCATGAATTTTTGTCACTTATTGGACATCATGTGTATGACTAGGTTTTTCAATCATGCAGTTATTATATGGCTGTGTTTTGTGATTCATTACAATATCTTATGAAATCTTATGTGTTTCATCCCACAAGTGCCTTAGACTTCAACAGGATACCCTGCATCTGTTTCAAAACTAAATAATCATGTATTTTATCTGAATAATTTTTTAGTTTTGTAATTAATTTAAGTTTATTCCCAGCCTTTATCAAGTGTATTTTTAGTGCAATGAGATGGTGGAGTGTCTGCAATAGTGGTTCCCAACTATTTTGCAAATCAATATGTCTGGCTTTTGAAATACTTCCAGTTGAGAATGAAACATGAAAATGTAGAAAGTTAATTTAAGTTAACCTATCCCAAAGTTTCCCATTGATTAAAGCTTATCAGGTTATCTTAGAGAGTAATCTTACAGTAGTTCCTACATTTTCAATATAGTAATTGTTTACATATGTAATACATATGTATTCCTATATTGAATAATAAATAAATGATATGTTGCAGAAATCATTGTTATATTTTTAGGGAGTTGCTAGACTGAAAAAGTTGAGGACCACTGGTCTGTAACATGTTGTAGTAGTCTTTTAGACTTACAACGCAGTATCTCAAATGATTTTTCCTCTTTACATTGACTATTTTGTTGACTCAGTGTGCATATCCTCCCATTACTAATCTTTCACATCTATTGTTTGCCCCTATCAAGTTGTTGATACTCAGGTCAGCCCATTAATAATCTGTAAAACTAAAAAACACCCCTGCTGACTCTTTTATTGATTCATGATAGTATTTTTAACATTTTCTGTATCTTTGTATTTTAATATTAGCTTGATAATTGTTTTGTTGCCCTCCTCTGCATACATTCAATTAATTACCTCAACCTGTATTAGTATAATCCAGTTGCAGTCTCACCTTAACTTTATATAGTTTGAGAAATGTTTCTTTTTTGAGAAATCTGCATGATCCTTGAATGTTTCCCATTGTACAGTTTGCTGTATTGATTATCTTGTTGATATGGCTATCAAATTTCAGGTCTTTCTCAATAAACATCCCTGTGCATTTATTACCCATATAATTTCATTTTCCTTTGAAGTTTGCAAGTTATAACTTTCATCAGGAGTATTTTGTTACCTACTGACATAAATTCATATGCATGGAAATTTATTAACCTACTGTTTGTTCATATATATAAGTTTACAGTATCCTTTTTTAACCCCTTGGATCTGGGTGACCTGACCATCATGTCATGAAAAAAATTTGGCTTGGGGGCCATGTGATATGAACATGTCATCATGAAAAAAATTAGTTGAAGACCAAAGTGACAGGATGATGGTGTTATGAGAATTTTGGCTGAAGGCCTTGGTGATGGGAATGACTTGTCATGAGTGCACAAAAGTTCCTGGAGAGTGATTAGAGACTCAAGGCTGCTCCAGAGAGGAAAATATTTCCATACTCAAGATCCTATTCCAGCCTGCAATGACCAGTATCACAGATGTATTACAGAGAATTAAATATCACACAAAAAAATACATAAATAACAATTGTATACCTAGAGAGATGTTAAGGAGTCTGTGCAAGGAAAACAGTCTATTGCCATCTTAATACAGCATATCAAATGACAAATATAGACATTCAAAATTGGCAAAAACGTAAAAAATGCTAATGCTGAAAATGTGATAATAAAAGGGGAGGCAAGGACTCTTGACACTGTACACGTGTTTGTGTGGGTCGGACCTACAAGCCACACACCTTTGAAAGTTGGCACTCCAACAAGCCTAATGCCTGTATTTTTGGTGAAATGTAAGCAGCAAAGCACCCAGATCTGATTAGTTAATACTTTTTATTATTATTTGGTTTCATAACTATTGATTTTTATCATCAAGAACAGGTAAATTGGCATAATAACTTTTTCTTGTAAATCATTAATGTTTGAGAATAGATAGCACCAAGGACATCTCTACATGTATGTACTGTTGGTATTTGGATAGACAGTCCTTTATCCATATTCCTCTTTTACCCCTTATTTCATAGGGCATAAGTAGGGCCAGATTTAAGCTTGAGAGAAGCTTAGAATTAGAAATAAAAGTACTCTGAAATATGAAACCATTAATGGTCTAAATAAACAAAAACAAACAAAAAAACTATAAAGGATGCAAAGCACAATAATTTCTCAAAAGTCCCTAAAACTTAGAGGCCCCTAAATTGATGAGCAAGGCCCCAAACTATAGCTTATTTAGCTTTTATGTTTATGTCAAGCCAATGTTTCAAGTTTTGTTACAAATCCCCATATTGGACCTTAATTGATTACTTTTTGGGAAGTTCATGCAAGTAACATTCATATAGTTTGTATTTTCTGTGATATTGCTAGCATTAGTGTAATAATCAGGAATCTGTCAAACAGTAAACCTGCCTTTTGTAAATACAATATATCAATTTAATGCAATTTATTACAGAGATTCATTAACATTCCCCCATGATTTTATACAAAATACAAATGAGGCTAACAGGCTTGTAGTTGAGACTAATACCTTATATATATATATATATATATATATATATATATATATATATATATATATATATATATATATATATATATATATATATTTATGTATATATACATACACACACATATATATATTCATACACACACACAATCACAATCAAAAACACACGCACACGCACACGCACACGCACACACACTCACACTCACACTCACATTCACACTCACACTCACACACACACACACACACACACACACACACACACACACACACACACACACACACACACACACACACACACACACACACACACACACACACACACACTCACACACTCACACACTCACTCACTCACTCACTCACTCACTCACTCACTCACTCACTCACTCACTCACACTCACTCACTCACTCACTCACACACACACACACACACACACACACACACACACACACACACACACACACACACACACACACACACACACACACACACACACACACACACACAGAAAGAATAACAATATAAGATGAAAGGAAGACAGCAAAGAGAGGTTGTAAGGTATTAGTCTCAACTACAGGCCTCTTAGCCTCATTTGTATTTTGTATACAATCATGGGGAATGTTAATGAATCACTATATATATATATATATATATATATATATATATATATATATATATATATATATATATATATATATATATATATATATATATAATATATATATATACATATATATATATATATATATATATATATATATATATATATATATATATATATATATATATATATATATATATATATATTATATATATATATATATATATATATATATATATATATATATATATATATATATATATATATATATATATATATATATATATATATATATATATATATATATATATTATATATATATATATATATATATATATATATATATATATATATATATATATATATATATATATATATATATATATATATATATATATATATATTATATATATTATATATATACATATATATATATATATATATATAATATATATATATATATATATATATATATATATATATATATATATATATTATATATATATATATATATATATATATATATATATATATATATATATATATATATATATATATATAATATATATATATATATATATATATATATATATATATATATATATATATATATAATATATATATATATATATATTATATATATATATATATATATATATATATATATATATATATATATATATATATATATATATATATATATATATATATATATACGATTCTCCATGATAAGATATTAAATTTTGTATAATATCGCGACCTTAGCTTGTGTGCTTAAATAACCGCACACGTGTACTGGAGGCAGCGTTATGAACGGTATTAAACAAGGTAATGAAGTTCGTTATAGGATTCCTGCAACGCATTATTGCTTTGCGCTTCGTCAGGTGTGAAAATTTAACCTTCCTTGTGGCTATGACACGAATGCTCTTCTCTGACTAATTAACTTGTTTGATTACGTTAATGAGGGCCTCGATTTACCGATTAATTATCCTGTAAGTGTTAAAAAAAAAAAAAAAAAGTTAGGAAGGAGGGGAAGGCGGGATAAGAACGAATGAGGGAGGAAGGGAGGTTGAGAGATAAAGAGGAGGAGGAAGAGCTGGAGAGAGCGTAAGAAAACAGGGAGGAAGGTGGGAAAGCAGTAAGAAAAGAAGAGATGGGAGGGAGACTGACGAAGTAAGATGGAGAAAGGGAGAATGAGAAAGAAAGGAGGTAGGGAGAGAGAAGGAGAAGGAGAAGTAGGGAGAGTAAGGAAAAAGACACAGAGAAGGTGAACAGGGGGAAGGTGAGGGGAAAAAGAAGGAACGAGAGGGAAAGAGGAATATGACGAGAAAGAAAGAATGAAAGCAAATTGAGGTGAGAAGATATATATATATATATATATATATATATATATATATATATATATATTATATATATATACATATATATATATATATATATATATATATAGATATATATATATATATATATATATATATATATATATATATATATATATATATATATAAGGAATCTGAGCTTACTAAATGGTAGAACACATTATTCTATGAAAGTTTTTTTCTATACCATTTTCTGCGCAAATTGAAGATAACGGTATTACAGAGGGTATAAATCCACGATTTCCAGGAGCCTCATTAACTTTACGCCTACAACACCGCGACAAAATGATTAAGTCGTTAAGAGCGACGGAAAATCGGGCGGACGTCTGCGAGGGAAATCAAATGATCCAATAAGATTCGTGCGTGAACGTGACATGAACATAAACGTGGCAATAGAAGCTGGACCTAGGAGAAGCCATTTGAAATTCAAAAAAGTTCTATCATGGCTGTGTAGGTTGAAGAATTATTTCGATTTCATCGCGAAATATCACCGAAATAACGAAGCAAGCTTACTAAATCTGCGAGATCCTGATGTACTTCCAATGGAAGTACAATGCCTTCACTGTGAAACACCGTGTCATTACAGAAATGACACTCAAGTGGGTTTGTGGTGCATGGCAAAACGAAAGCAGTGTAAATTTACTGTAAGGGGTCGCAATTCGCACCAACAACGACCTAGAATACCCCGACGATCCCGGTGACCCACAGCCTGGCCCGTCGGGAGTTCATGCTTAAGGTAAGATGTGGTTGAAACTGTTCCTGGGCCCGGACTGTCTCCTGCCGGAACATACGAGGTGAAGATTTTGTAGACCAGACAGGGGGTAGGGGGCACGGCAACCCCCCTCCCCCTGAAAGGGGGTTTAAGGGGGCGGAGCCCCCTATACAACCCGGAAATGTGTTAATATACTATGCTTGCTGGTATTCTATTGATATTTCTCGAAATTCCCTGATATGTATCATGCCCCCCTCAACTATCGGGACCGATATCGTAGTTATGCTTCGTTTGCCAAGGAAATTAGTGCTAGATTCGTTCGAAACACGACGAAAGCTACTGAAAAATTGTTCTATTCACCCAAATAAAGGTGTGGGGTTGCATTTCCAAATATACCGATTTTTCTTTGCATATAAAGACTATAACATCCATGGAGAATTTTCTCTTGCTTTGTCAGTCTTGCTTCAGTTTCTCTTATATTCATTCTGACATACCAAGACCGGATAGCCATGATACCCAATTTGAATTGCAATATATGTAATTTCCAACTGCGATTTTGTATATACTTTTCTGATGTGGCTGAATTGTTGCACGGATTAATATCCTTCGATGCACCTTTTTTTAGTTTTTTTATTATGCCCCTTTCAGTGTACAAAATCTCGTTAATGCTGTCGGTGGCATTACAATGATCATATCCAAAGCTTTCAACAGGCAAGAATCAGCACTACGCAACGCGCTGTGTCGAATTGCCGGATAGGCTGGCACGGAAGTGCTTGGGAACACAGAATTATAGCATTCTGCGCCATATGAGTGTACCAGGGTATGATGTCCGATGACACTAGTAGTAAACTCAGTTGTAAAATGTAT